GGCGCCGCCACTCTCGGCGGGAGGCCGTGCCCGCAGGGGCAGCCGGCGGGCCCCGCGCAGCAGCGTCTTGTCCTCGCCGCCTCCCCGGGCCGCGCGCCGCAGCTGGTTGTGGGCGCGCACAGACGTCCCGGAGCCCTTCTCCTGCCCGGGGAGCTCCCGCGCCCGCGGCAGCGCACAGGGCTCTGGCGGGAGGGATCCCGGCTTCACATCACTGCCCCCCAGCGCCCTGGGGACGCAGTCTCCCGCACGACCCGCCGTGGTCGCCACAACAGCGGCCGCAGCGCTCCGGGACGGCCCGCGGGTCCGCTCCCCGCGGACAGACAGATAGTGACGTCATGGGCAGCCATCCGCCGGGAGCATGAAGCAAACCCGGCTCGGTGCTGCCCTCCGGTGGTGCGCTCCTAGCACTGCAGCCACGAGTAGCCGCGCCGCTGAGGGGCGACAAACCCGCTGCTCGGTGCTGCCCTCCTGTGGTCGCGCCGGGGCATTGCAGCAGCCAGTGACGGCGGAGACCAATCCCTGCTCAGAGCCGCCCTCCCGTGGCCGCGCCGGGCATTGCAGCGGGAAGACCCGGGCAGGCATCCAAGCCGGCACCGCGCAGCCGCCTGGGGCTGGAGCGGGGCTTGGAGCCCAGAGATACCGACCCGGAACAAAATCGGCTGCGTGCCGAACCTCCCTGCGCTTCACCCTGCGCGGAGCAGACGGACTTTAAAGGCAGAGAAAAGAAACGCCTGCCCTGTGCTACTGCCGTAGGGTTCAAGCTGGGCTTTGCAGCCGAGAGATGAGGGCAGCGAGAGGGACAGAGGCTCCGGCCCCGCACCTGCAGCTCGGGGAGGCGGGAGATGAAGGTAGAGACAGAAGGAGAAACAAGGCCTCGCTCGCTCGGTGCGTAACTCGGCCTGGGCCAGGCTCGAGCTGCTCGGGGCGGACACACGATTCCCGGGACATTGACCCCGGCCCGGCGAGCGCGGCAGGGCCTGGATCGGAGGCTCGTGTTCCCATTGGCCACTATGAGACGTGAGGCGATTGGGTGGAGTGGCCGCTTGGGCGGGGTCACGGCCGCCCCGCCCCCCTTTGCTCTGATTGGCCTGTGTTGGGGAGGCGGGACCAGGAGCCCGGCCACCTCCTTCACATTCTGATTGGCTGATGTGAATGGTGAGTGTGAGCAGGTTTCTGTGCTCCCATTGGTCCGACTCCGATCCGCACCGGCCCCGCTCACCCGGTTGTCCTCCCCCTGAGCCCCGTGCGGGGCAGCCGCTGGGCGGGTGTTGAAGCGTGAAGCTGTCTGTCTGTCCCGGTGCCCCTTTCCTCTCCTCCTCCCGCCCGGGGAGCCTCCCTGTCTCCTCGACGTGATGGGAGGTGGTCTACGGGGGTCCCAAGAAGGACCGTTCGAATCCGGGCTGACGCTGAAACCTCTCTAGGCAGCACCTTGCAAAGCACCAGATTTACCATTTTTAACGAAAATTAAAAAATTGAAAACCTGTTGTTCAGGAAGCACCGCAGGGCATCGGTTCAATTCCAGGGGAGAGTTTGGGATCTTTGGTGTCAACTCGTGTAATATGGAGAACGGGATTGAAGTGACGGTGTTATTCATTGTGTACTTATTTTGAAAACTTAAATTGTACAGAGATGTATGCAGTAGTGTGTGTGTGTATAGCGACATGCAGATAGTGTGTGTGTGTGTGCAATACACACCATAATTGACACAGCGATGCTGCGTGTAATAGGTGTCGTTGGGATTCACCCTTTCTACGACGCTAACCCGGCTCGGTGCTGCCCTCCGGTGGTCGCGCCGGGGCATTGCCGCAGCCCGTGACGGCGGCGACGGAGCCTTGCTCAGAGCCGCCCTCCTGTGGCCGCGCCGGGCATTGCAGCGGGGAGACCCGGGCAGGCACCCAAGCCGGCTCCGCGCTGTCGCCTGGGGCCGGAGCGGGGCTTGGAGCCAGGAGATACCGACCCGGAACAAAGCCGGCTCCGTGCCGCCCTCCCTGCGCGGAGCAGCCGGGCTTTAAAGGCTTCTAAGCGCCGATTGGTCCGACTCCGATCCTCAGCGGCCCAGCTCAGCTGGTTGTCCGCCCGCTGAGCGCGGAGCCCGCGTCCCGCTGCCGGCGCGACCCGCGGGCGGCCCCGGAGCGCTGCTGCAGCTGCTGTGGCGACCACGGCGGG